AAAACTCAATATTTCTATTTTAACGTGGGTTCTCTCGGCAACTCAGACCACCGTCCTCTTAAGATATGCCCAGTCATTTACGGTAAGACTAAACTTGTCTTTGGTAAGAAAAGTCCTTCAAAACCGTCAGACGGCGAAACTGCTCGATAGTAAACGTTACGAAACTCCAAGGACAAAAATCTCTTTAGAATATGAACATCTTACTGAAGATGTCAACTTCTGCTGCGAGCCATGCTGCCCTGTCGAAACCATCTACGTACGATGGACAGGTTCTAAGAAAGGAAGAACGCCCCTGTAAGTTCAAAATGTCTGCCAGGGAAAGAAAAAGAAAGGCATTAGCAGTACGCCGGCACTGCGTACCGATGCTTCGCTGCTGCGCAACCACCACCGGTCGCACGCGGGCTAATACAAGGGTCGTCCTGCCCCTACGCAGGCTTGAACCCGCGTCGTTAGATTACAAGACAACCTCGTTATCTTTAGGCTACGGGCAAGCCAAAATGTCTGTCCATGTCAAACGACTACCTTTGGAAATAAAATTAGAGCTAAGGCGATTGAATGGTTTGTATATTGAAACTGTTAGGTAAACCCGACTGTCAGGACCTTTGGAGGCTTTTAAAACACCTGTGTGGCAAAAGTTCCTTTGAGCGAGTTGATAAGGTGGACGTGGACAAACTCAATGCTAAGTTTTGTCCCTCCCCATTTGGTATATGTTCCCTGCCTTCATTCAAGTGTACAGTTGACGTAATCACTGTTGGTCGCATCGATGTCTACAATGAGATCGAAAAATTGAACTAAGGCTGTCTGACCAGATGCGTTATCACCACTCGTTCAAAAAGAGAGGGCGGATTATCTCGCAGTACTCATAACCGCACCGTTCAACCGGTGTATTATGACATGTGGAGATCCGTTAACGCCTGTTCCAAAGAAGGAGTCACAAAACTATCGTCCAATTCCATGTATATCGTCGACCCATAGACTTAGGGATCCCAAGTTTGCCTTGTAATCTGGGGGCGCGGGTTCGAGCCTGTGTAGGAACCGGGCGACCCTCGCAGTACCTTTAGTCCACATGCGACTGCTGGTGGTTGCACAGCAGCGAAGCCCCGGTACTGCGTGCCGACGTACTGCTGATGCATGCACGTCGGTGGTGTTGAAGGCCATTTTGTCCCTCAGATGTTCACATGCACACCCATGTAGACGATGGTTACCAGTGTGCTTGTAAAACTTAACCGCGCCATACTAAATGCTGTGTCGTATTGTGCACATGCTATAGCATATGTACTAGAGGAAAAGTGCGGGGCCGTGCGGCTCCTGTTTTCTGATTAGTCAAATGCTTTTGATGGCGTTAACAGATCAGTCGTACTCAACCAGCCGCTCACGAGTGGCGTTCAAACAAGTTATCCCAGCGTGATTAAAAAATTGATTTACAAACCACACCCAGTCCACCCAGCTTAACGGAACCAAGTCCTCTACACTTTGTGCTGATCGTAATGCGTTAAAGAGAGCGATCCCTTCTACTCCTCTGGCGGACGCATTTGATAAGGAAGGATAGTAAAGCAACTGAATGGAAGGGTACGTCATCTGAATTGTAATGTGATCTGTTCGTGACTTATTGCATTGGTGAAGGTCGTCGATTAGTGGAATTTCTCTACGCATGCCAGAAGCTTGTGCAAAATAGAAACAAGCGGTTAACTTCATGTAGTGTGAGACAATCTCCGTTATCAGAATGAACCTTATCAATGACGTGACGGTCACCAAGATGACGCGAGCACGGTAAAAGGCGACCGAACTGCATTTCAAACAATTCCAAGATGCTATGGCCATCGCAAAGGATAATCAACGGCGCCCTATCTGCTGCATCGAGCAGGGTGCATAGGGGTGAAGACGCCACTGCGCAAACATTCCCGTCTTCGTGTGCTTTTTCATCCCCATGGTGCCGTTCCAACTCGACTTTTATTCGCCCTGTCTTCAATCCCAAACGCTAGGCTTTCCCAAGAGCTATTTTGATTGTCGCTTGTCTTCTAGTTTCAACACGCGTAATCGCGGAGTGTAACTTCTCTATTGTCTACAAACTCATGTCTAACCTCGCGAACAACCTCAGTTCATCCGTTCGTATTTTAAGACTACAGTCCTCGCTAAAATTGACATGTTTCAAGTGCGCACTTTGTTACAGATTGGGCAGTAGTCAATACCTGCCCGAACATTAAAGACACCGTCGATCGGTATCTCCTGCTTATCGGAAACTCGCCTGCAGGATTCAAGCTCTATACTTAGCCTGCGATCCCCCACATGCGACACTGGCACCAGTTACTCATTGTGTTCATTCGGAAATGATGCAGGTTTGAATACCGGTCAAACCGGGCTGAAGTTGCGCTGGTTAACTGGATCCCAATCAACAGCCGCATGTGCGCTGGCTCGTTCAGAGTTTCGAAGTCGGGTGGGATCACTGGGCGCCTGTTGCATAGGCTTTGACAAACTGAGGTGCTGAGTCGAGGAAGGACGAGTTCGTTCGTCACAGAATAAGGTAACACTAGTGCTAACTGGTGATCTGAACTGTCCACCGATGAGCTGCATCGAGGCGGCCAACACGGTGCAGGCTCTCGTAACGACAACGGTGAGTAGTTGTTACATCCATGTGATGATATTCGTTTATTTCTAGCGAATACCAACTGCCGGCTGCACTCCATCGGAGGGTGACACGTCCACAATCAGCCTCGAATCAGCCGTGAGGTATTTCTCGATGACAGGTAACGCGTAGAATGACTAATTTTTGGCTTTACTCAAACGCTGGTGAAGTGTAAGATAAAAGTCGTCCTTAACTGATACACATCTGAAATCAACATGAGCGTAGGCGGAGAGCATAAGTGAGTTGCATTTCCATCCACGATGTTTGTAGATTTTGCATGATACAGAGACCAAAGTGAACATAGTTAGTTATCAATCGAAAATTAATCCCGTAGCGCGAACTTAGCTTTACAACTACATGCGACACCAACAGCAGTCAAACCGGTTGTAACTGCTTCTGTGTCACCCGACAGGAGGAAACCTATGTTGTCGGAGTCTTGTAATCGGATCTCAACAAATGCTGATGGCGAATGACTCCATAAAACGCGCCACACTGACCTGTTGCCCAATCTGCATGCGGGGTTAGCGCATTGCCAATTGGAATAAAGATAGGAGCTGGAGGAGAGTCACTGGCCGGACTCTTTAGACATCGGCGAAGCTGACATCGGAAGTAGGTTTAAAGGAACAATAATGATCAACGAAAGTAGGTTTTGTATGTGTGTGCTGGAGGTGCATGAGCAGTAGAGCATGAAGGAAGAGGAGAGTGACGTAATAGTAGTTGTCGAATCCATGATTTTAGCCGACGGTGTGATACTAACCGGTCGCCAAAGCCGAATTGGGGAGTTGACTAAGAGGACACTACCCCGAGCCTTAAACTAAACAACTTATTTGCAAGGCAGTGAGCTGAAGTCAGGGAAATGCGCATACTGGAGGCCTGTGACGAATTTTTCACTACATACGCGTTTGGTTTTCGTTGGTAACCAGACAGACCGTCGACCTTTTCCCCAAACTTTGATCAAAAGAGTGCTATGGCTGAATGAAATCCATACA